GTAAAGAAAGGGATGCTTTCCATGGTTGGACCAGTTTCACCGTCAGCCCCCTTCACGCTTGCTGTGAAAACAAGCCCATAGACGTTTAAATATTCCCGATACTGGGGAGTGACAGCTCTTGCCCTTGGACAAAATATTCTCTCCAAGCACTTAGGCTGAACCTTCAGTGGGAAGAGGAGAAAGAACTCTATATTCTTGGCTGCCTTTTTCAACAGAACATGATGAAAGAGAATTTAATATAGGAAACAGCTACTGATCGCCCCTTTGGTCTGAGAAAATTCAAATTTCACTTCTCTGTAGAGCTGTGTTCTGTGAAAGGTGTTGTCTCATTTCCTTCTTGGTGTCTGGGGATAATGACCAAGGGCAGGAGCAGAGAAGTGTGAGCCAGGGAGAAGCTGGGCGGGTGAAGGGAGGGGAGTTGTCAACTGCTAAATTTTTGAAGCTGTTTCCTTAAGAGTTTTTGACAGAACTTCTCTAGGTGCTAAAGACCTCAAACCCCGCATTATTTTTACAAAGGAAAAAAAGCATTAGCGTCTGCAGAAATCTAAAACACCCTTAGAAAATAAAATCCTAAACCAAGTTTTCTGGAAGCATACATGCTCTCACACTTTTGAGAGCTGTAAAATAAATTATGACTTTGTGACTTTTGGGGACAGAGTTGAACTGAAGCAGGTTTTGGAGGATGAAGCACAGTGAGTAGGCAAGGAATGCTGAGTCAGAGACTTCTCCGAAGAGTCCTTAAGCCGAGGACAGACAGTAACAACCTCATTCTGTAGTTCCCATGAGCCCAGAAGCTCCCTTTAAACAGTTTGATGCTCTGGGCGCCACCTACCACCCGTTCCTCAGCTCAGGGACAGAAAGGAGGGCGGACGTGAGCACCAGCCTGGGGGTGCGAACGCCGAGTGGCTGGTGCACTTCGAGGCGGTGGGAGCTCTGATTCCTTTTGCAAGCGCTGCCCCTTTTCCTTACACCCTGTGTTCGAGGCCGTTAGGGTCAGATCAACGCTTACAAGTCCTGAGTATCTCCTTCCACCTCTGTCTCAGGTCATAGAGAGCAGAGGTGACACTCTAATACCAGCAGATGACTCACAAAATCTCTAACACCCCATTCATTCATTCATTCAGTCAGTCAGTCATTTGTTCATTTGCTCTCACTCATAAATATCTTTTTGTTGGGACAGAACACAACACGAGGCAGAGTAGGGTTAGCGCCAGAAGCACTGCAGTTCAGAGGAGGATGCTGGGGGAGGAGAGTGGGGGGTGCTGGGCCAGAAGCACTGCAGTTCAGAGGAGGATGCTGGGGGAGGAGAGTGCCAGTAGAGGGCGCCAGAGATTTCTGGTGTGTTAGGTCGGCCCCCTCTGAATCCTTAACAGCTGCCAGCAGAGTCTGGCTCACACAGGTGCTTAATAAATACCTATTGGTACCATCCTTCTGTAGCCTCCTTTGGTCATACACACAGGTGTCCAGCACATCCCTGTCCAAGGCATCTTGTCCTGGGGTCATGAGTGTGCCTGAATAAGATACTTGGAGACATTCATTGCGAGCCCTGCGCTCTGGCCCGTAGCCACAGCTGACCACCAGGAAGCACGACCACGCTGCAACAGTTCCCTGGCCCCTTGCTGGACGTTCCTACCTGGAGCCCCAGAGAACGCCTCTTGACCTGCTAGGCTCCCCCCGGGCCCAGAAGAGGCTGAGTGTGTTCCTGGGTGCCTCCCCGCCCCTTCAGCCTCTGACCACAAATACTGCCATAGTGGTGGCTGCAAAGGTGCCTTTTCCTCCTGCCACTGCCCGCCAGCTGGGCCTGTCCACCTGAAAGGGAGGGGACCAGCTCTTTCCACCTCACCGAGCTGGCTGGCCAGGGCAGGCCTCGGCAAGCATTCCACAATGGGAGGAAGCACTCTGGCACTGTGGTTTAAAGCACACTGTCGTGGTCACATCCTCTAAGTCTCTAACCCTTGGGGACTCTGAAGTTTCCCCTAATGGGACTGGCCACCAAAGCCCTCGCAGGGGAGGGGAGGCCATCCTGTCACACGAGCTGGCCACAGCCCGTTCTTCTCCCTCCCAGGGAGAAAGCAAGGAGGGGAAATCCATCTTCTGAGCAGCAGTAGCAGCCGAAGAAGCAAATCCAGGGGTGCCACCCGATTTTTATTGTTTTTCTCTCAATGCACAACCACTGTGAACTGACCCAGTGGCTAGTTGCCCTGAAAACAGCCACTTCCTGCTGCCCTGTTCCTTCCCAAGGTCATTGTTAATGGGAAATCTTCCCAATGGCCGCAGCCGAGAGGCTGGAAGAAGAGAGAACACCTATCCCCGACCCTATTCCCACGGCACCAGGGGCCCTAATTCCCCTCGCCGTTGGCTGACATGATACCACACTGACATCGAGATGCACCTCTCCCTCCCACAGATTCGATTGTCATCATCTTCTGGGTGAGCCTGGCTGTTTTCGTGGTGCTTCTCTTCCTCGTCCTGCTCTACATGTCCTGGTCAGGCTCCCCGCAGGTGAGGTAAGTAAGGGTGTGGGGATGCAGGTCCCTCGTGTGGCACAGTAGTGAGGAATCGTACGTTCGCACAGAATATTATTTGGCTGTAAAAAGGAATGAAGCACTGGCTCGTGCTACAACATGGGTGAGCTCACAAACATCGTGCTGAGTGTAAGAATCCAGACTCCAAAGACCACGCATGGTATGACATATCTACAGTAGGTTAATCTATAGAGACAGAAAGCAGATTAGCTGTGCCAATAGCTATCATCTTTTGGATACGATAAAAATATTCTAAAAATAGATTGTGGGGCTGGTGGCACAACTCGAATATACTAAATAAAAGCTCATTGAATTTTACATTTTAAATGGATAAATTTTATTGTATGTAAAATGTATCTCAAGTACGCTGTTAATAACAATAGCACCAAAGTGACCCC